CCACAATTTTGGGTGTACTGTTTTGTTTTTGTTTTTACTGATGGGGGGTGGGGGGTGCGGCTTATAGTCCGAAAAATACGGTAATTATTTTCGTAATTGACGTGTTTCCATTGAGCAAATTTATTTTCAAAATTCTAATTTGCACATTTTTCATGATCAATGGAAACGCAGCTGGTGACACTAACATGATTTGTGGTTGAAAACAGGGAAACGCTCGGCTTTACTTAATAAAATATTCTGCTCTATGAGATTACATCATGAGGAGCAACAAAACAGGGAAAAACTGGAGAAAACATTTTTTCTGCTAAAACCCTGTCAAAATAAAACATAAAAGTAGCAAAACCATATTTAAAAGCTAAATTTAGCAAAACTATGACTAAAACCAAAACAACTAAAAGAAAACAGCAGTTTTGTGCAGTAAAAAAAACTGCAGCTGGAGACTAAAAGGAGCTAAAAGGAAGCAGACATCAAACAATGTAAATAATTCAAGAAGAATACGAGGAGGACGAACTAAAGGAGACTGATCCTGAAGAAGCTGAATGTTCTGATCCATGAAGGTTGAAGAAAGAAGTCTGATAATAAAAACTAAAACAGGAGGCAGCAGTGTGACTGCTGAGTCAGCAGTGTGAGTGCTGAGTCAGCACCATCACGGTGTTTCAGGGTGGACTCACCCTGGATGCTCTGTGCCGGTACCAGACCAGACTGTGGTGACGGACTCTCTGGCTTAGCTTTGGACGTTTTTGTTTGTTTCTCTAACATAGAGGGTGGCTGACGGGACTCCACCTGAAACAACATTTCAATCTTTAAAATACCTATGACATCATTTTATGTGTAATAAACATGAATGAACTTTTGGAAAAATAACATCAATAACAATTTGAAAAAAAAAATTAAAATAAAATAACACAGCTGTAATTACCAGTTGAGATATTCTCACATGCAGAACCAGGAAGTGATGTCATAGAGGAATGTCTGCATGTAAACAGAGCGTTGCTACAATAACAACAGACTGTAGAGAAGAATCTGATGTTTCTTTGGATTATTTTAATTCTATGAAAGATGAGTCAGAGTTTAAATAACACTGTTTCAATAAACAATGACCAGAGTTTTCTTTCTTAAAGAGTTCCCCTTTGACATCACTTCCTGTTTCACTTTGAGTCAAGTTCAAAACAATTCTGACAGTTGTGTAACAAAATGGTTAAAATATGTGTTTAATGTAAAGTTGTTCCTGGATTTTGTTTTGTTTTTACTTTTTGTATTTGAAGGATATGCATGTCACAAGAACTTTAACATTTTCTTATTAAATTTAAAATAAATTGGGATTTAAAGAGGTTTCTGAAACAACATGTTTGTCATTTTGTGAAACATCTCCAGCTAACCCAGGGGCGGTTCTAGGGGCGGGGCCACAGGGGCACTGGCCCCAGCTGAAATCTGATTGGCCCCCTGAAGTACCCCTGTCCTGTCACTCATCWGTCCTTTACCTGGTAGTGATGATGGTGGATGCAGTTCCATGTTCAAACACTAGAGGCGCTAATGAGTCAAATACAGAATGAATCAAACTGACAGAATTCTTCTTCTCTTCTTAAGAAAATTAAAACAATCCTACAAAAAAAGTATTTCAACTGACAAATGATGACTGGATTTTCTCACATGTATGTTTGAGAATATTTTATCTATGTTCAGTAAATGTATGAAAAACTGGTGAGGAGAATTTACTGTGCAAGTCTTTTTCAGTACTACTTAACTATAAGGCTCACCTTGTAAATGACTTATAAAGAGTTTATAGATAAACTACCAATTCATCTGTAAAGTTTACACTTTATAAATCATTATTAAATGTTTATAATGCAACAATTAAGATGAGAAAGACAAAACTGTCCAGTTTCTTACCATATAAAGAGACAAATCTGTTCACGCATCTATATTAAATATTTCACACTAGGTTACTATATTATAAGTACAATAACGATAAACATATTAATATTGTACTGTATTGTACTGCTTTATAAATATTCACAACTGTCAGAGAGAATTATTATAAAGTGTAATAAAGTACACTATTTATTAATGACAAATAAACATTTATAAATGCCAAAAGTTCGTCTTTCATGTGAAAAATCATCATTTTTAAAACTTTGTGTTGATAATCAACATTTGAAATTATTGTTCAAACATGTAACTGTCAACAATGATGTATCAAAAAAGTAAAAACATGTCATGTTAACACACCAAATAATCCAACCCAATCTAAAATAATGTACAGTTTAACACTTTACAATAAGGATCCCTTTAATAATTGTGGATATTTATAATGCAGTAATACAGTACAATATTATATGCTAAAATGTGTTTCCTAAACATTATTCTGCTACTAGTATGAAATATTTAATACACAAACAGATTTGAGTCAGTATTTGGAAAGAAACCAGACAGTTTAGTCTCTTTTTTACCTTAATTAATGCAAAATAAACACTTATTAATAATTTATAAAGTGTTTACAGATGAATTAATAACCTATCTATGAACTCTTTAAAAACCAACTATAAGGGGAGCCTTGTTGTAAAGTGGTACTCTATATTTAAAACAATTATATTACAAGCATTTGAACATGTATGACTGGTTAAATGTAAACACTTTATCAAAACTGGAGATTTGTGTGAAAGTATGTTGAACAAAGACTGGCCCCTCTATGAATATTGTGGCCCATTGATGGCCCCTTACTCAGAAAAATCCTAGATCCACCACTGAGCTAACCTGGTTCTGGTAGTTTCCAGGATTGAAATAACTAAATGACCAACTCTGATCAAGTTTAACACTCGTTTATTTCACTCAGACTTTTAAATGACTCCTCTAAACCAGAGATTATTAACCTATGGGCCACAGCGCCACCTTGAGGGCCTCAAAAGAACATCAGTTTTTAACTTTG